GATAAATCTAAGGTCGCAGATATCTGTCCCTGGGATACAGGAAACACTGGGAACAAAGAGGAAACATCTCAGTCAATTGATAAATCTAAGGTCGCAGCTATCTGTCCCTGGGATGCAGGAAACACTGGGAACAAAGAGGAAACATGTCAGTACATTGATAAATCTAAGGTCGCAGATATCTGTCCCTGGGATGCAGAGAATGCAGTGGGCAGTGAACAAAAGACATTGTCTGGTGATAAATTTAAGATCACAGTTATCTATCCCTCAGATGCAGAAAATACTGAGAGGAAAGAGGAACCATCACCATCCTTTGATAAATCCAAAGTCTCAGGTAACTGTTTCAGGGATACTGAAGATTCTGGGTGCAATGAGGGATTATTGCTGCCCATTGATAGATATAAAGTTCCAGATATTTGTCTTTGGGAGAAAGAACCAACAGCAACAGGAGAAATTCAAATGGGTACAAAACCTGAAAGCAATTTTATTTCAATTTCTCTTTCTGAAACTGAGGTGACAGCAGCAAACCAACATGAAAATAAAGAAGCTGAAAAACCAAAAGATCATGCAAAAGTTAACTATTTAAATGTGAGCCGTCCTATGCATTTAGTATGATTCGGTTGAGATGCCAAAGCTAAAGATGAAGTGACTGTGACATTTTTATGTCAAGCTTTTCCAAGATATGGAATAAAACAAAATTCATTGATGCCAGATTTCTGATGTAAATACCAAGTGTGCTATGTAATAAACAGCTTCTTCCTAAAAGAAGTGGCTAAAGAAACATGTTGTGTTCCAACTAAATATTCAATCTGTTGTTATACTTAAGTAATCCCAGGCATGGTTATTCATACTGCATTATGAGGTGAGGTAAAAGTTACTGTCCTTAACATCAAAGCTGCATTTGAGCAGATGTGGCATCAAGGAGCCCTATCAAAACTAGAATCTACAGAAATTATGGGGAAAACTTTCTGCTGGTTGGAGTCACATATGGCATAAAAGAAGATAGTTGTTGTTGTTGGCCAGACAGTCATCTCAGGTCCAGGACATGTCTGCAGGAGTTCCTCAGGATAGTGATGAGGTCCAAACATCTTCAGCTACTTCATCAATGACCTTCCCTCCATAAGGTCAGAAGTGAGGATATTTGCCGATGAACCTACAATGTTCAGTACCAATCGCAGTTCATGAAGCAGTTGATGTCCAAATGCAGTAAGACCTGGTTTGGGTGTGTGTCATGACTCACTGGGCTGGCAGGCTAGAAATCAAGCCCTGCTATTTCCAGAGTCAGCACAAAAGCTAAAGTTTTTAAAATAAATATCCAAAATCCCCAAACTACCTGAATTTAAGACCCAGGCTGATACAGGCACAGACCAGGTTTGTATACTTAACAAGAATCACTATTTATTACAGCTAATAAGATTCTAGTTATGGACAATTAAACTAAATTAAGTAAACTCTACAAATTAAAGCTCCAACCCTGTTAAAAACTCTCCCTTTTCCACCCAGACAAACAGTCAACAAAAACAAATGGGCAGTATGAAAACAGTTCTATAGTCTTTCTTCACATGATCCATTGCATTGTTTCTTGCTGATCTGCAGGTTTCTCCTTGCCTTTGCTTTTTGCAGAAGTTTTCACTGATCTGCAAAAGACACAGGGTGGCTGGTTCACTTCTGAAATGTCTCTGATTTCTCCAATTTAAAATCACAATGTTTGGCATCTGCTGAAGGAAAGATAAGTTGGTTTTCTTCAAGTTTAAAGTAACTTATGACTGAGAATGGAAACCATTTTTATTCATAGAGTCAAAGAGTCATACAGTACAGAAACAGACCCTTCGTTCCAACTAGTCCATAATACCAAACTAAACTAGTCCCACCTGTCTGCACTTGGCCCATATCCCTGCAAACATTTCTTATTTGTGAATTTATCCAAATTCCTTTTAAATATTGTAATTATACCCACATCCACCACTATCACACATGAACTAGTGTGTGTAAGAAAAGTTGCCTCTCAGATCTTTTTCTCCTCTCACCTTAAAACAATGCCCCTAGTCTTGAAATCCGTCACCCTCTTGTAATATTTCAGCTATTGGAAATAGTTTCTCTTTATTAAAACCAACTAAACCTTTCACGATTTTAAACATGTCTGTCAAATCACCTTTTAAACACAGTTTCTAGGGCGAATAATCTCAGGTTCTCCTTATCTACATTTTCTCATTCACTGAACTCTCCTGTATTCTTAGTTGCTACATATCTGATTCTTTTCTCTTCTGATCTGACTAGCTTCTCCCTGAGAACTGTTATGAAGAAGGATTGCTAAACCTGAAACATTGGCTCTGCCTTCTCTCCATGGATGCTGCCAAACTTGCTGAATGTTTCTAGCAACTTCTTTTTTGGTTTTAGCTTCTCTGTCTTGCTCACAGGCCAAGCTGTTTTGCTAACTGACAACTAATCACCTTGTCGTTGTCAGGCAAAGGACTTTTATCTTCATAACCGGCCATTAATCCACACCAATCAATTTAATTTATAATCTGTCCCTCAGCTCCAGAACATGTGCATATTGCTGCAAGTTGCAGCTACACAGAGATCACAATAGGTATCAAATTCTTAACTTTCAACACATGCAGACATCTTAAATTCCTTGGTTTAAAACAATTCTTTCTCATTTCAGTCCACTGTCATTAAAAAGCACAAAAATAAAGATACACAGTCTTTACAGCCAACAAGTGGCAAGCAACATGTGTGCTACTCAAGTGCCAAGCGAGAGAATCTAACCATTACGGCTTGACATTCAATGGCATTACTATCACTGAATCCTTCCCACAGGACATCATGGCAACATCAACCAAAGCGATAGCCTCCGGCAGTGAATTGACCCAGCAGCGAAACATGACACCTGAGGATCAGCAACTTTGACCAGGTCTGGCCAGATGGTAGTGGTTCTGAGCCGGCTCAGAACTCATACATAGATGGTGTTCTCTTTAAGCTATAGCTTTTCATTTTCTCTTATTCTTAAACTATCAAAATGGTTCCGGATTACAGTGACAAATGAAAGCGACAAATGAAAGCTTTTCACTGTATTGTATTGTATTTCACTGTAAAATGCACATCACAATAAATCATTCATTCATTATCAACACTGTTGACCATAAAATGAACTGGACTCACTATATTAATACTGTGGCTACAAGAGCAGGTCAGAGGCTAGGAATGTTGCAGCAAGTTACTTACTATCTGATTCTCCATTGCCTGTCCGGGCTTCTGTCTTATAGATGGCGAAGGGTGATGGAATATTCTCCACGTCTGGATGAGTGCAGATCCAACAAAACTCAAAAGGTTTGACACCATCTTGGTCAAACTGGTCTATTTGATTGGCATCACATCCACAAACATTCAGTTATTTCACCAATGTTCAGTAGTCAGCAGTGTACCATCTACAAGATGTATGCACAGATTCACAAAGGCTCCTTAGATAATACCTTCCAAACCCACAACCACTTCCATCTAGAAGGGCAAGGGCAGCAGATACATCAGAACACCATCACCTGCAAGTTCCCATCCAAGTCATTCAATGACTAGTCCTGATGAAAGGTTTCAGCCCAAAATGTTGACTTTCTTGCTCCTCTGATGCTGTCTAACTTGCTGTGCTTTTCCAGCCTCACACCTATAGACTTAAGTCACTCACCATCCTGACTTGGAAATATATCACTGTATGTTCAGTGACACTGGGTTAAGTTTCTGGAACTCCCTCCCTACTGGCTTTGTGGGTCTACCTACACCAAATGGTCTGCAATATTTCAAGAAGGGCAACTAGGGATGGGCAATAAATGCTGGCTCAGCCAGAAATATCCACAGCCATGAATCCATACATATAAACATATAAAAATATATTTATTTATTCATTTGTGAGACATGGGCATTGCTGGCTGGGCCAGCATTTATTGTCTGTCCCCAGATTATGTACAAAAATCCCCAAAAATAGTATTGCTGATAACTTTGAGGACCAACATAAGAGGTACTTTACAAAGGAATCTTGAGTGAAATTACACCTCATTAATTATAAACCTACAGAAGACATCACTACCATTTAAACAAACAAGGTTGTTTTCCTCCCCATACATTTTTTTGTTTTCTTTTAAATTATGCTTGCATTAAGATACTAACACACTAGTTTAATCAATGTTTAGTGGGAAGACTAAAGATCACAGATTATTTTTGCATTCTTCCACATGGGATTAGATGGAGGACGTGTGCCCTTTCTCCTGAAGACTACAGATGCTCCAGCTATATGCTCCAATTGGGCACTTGCAATAGAGTTCAATCTTTTTACCTTCCCACTTCCCAAATATAAAGCACATTGCCTCACCAGGTAAAAGCCAGCATCCTGGGTCAATGACATGAGGATAATTTACCTCAGCCTACCTGACAGAAAGATGTATGCTTCCTCCAGGATAGCAATTTGGAGGAAGATCCTTGGCTGATAAATCTCCAGCCATGGTATAGAGAGGCTGATAATAGCACTCCAAGCACTGTCTTAGCTAATTTTGTTTCCATTCTGCTCCTAGGATTTATTTGATACTGCCAAAACTATATTTATTACCTTGCTCTTGTTGCACTAAGCACGTCAACTCCATTGTTTTCTTTAAACGTGGTTATGTAATTTGGGTATAAAGTCACATTTAGAAAGATTAGATAGTTTTGATAAATTTCTTTTGCTAACATAACAGACGCCAGGAATCAACTGCAAATTCTATCACGTCATATAGTTTGCATGAAAATAGTGACCTTTATTATTTTCATAGCTTGCTATGGCAGGATTTGAATTCACAACCTTTGGGTGGCTTGCCCATCTTACTGCAGTGATGTTATCCCAAACATTTCTTGATGTTCATGCCTTAAACCAGTGAACTAAACGTTTAAAATGGTTATAAAACAACACGGGATTCTGCAAGGTCGCAGTTAAAACACATCTGTAGGTGCCATACCAAAGGGAAACAAAGAGTGCTCCTTCAAAAATATTTCTTTCCTAGCTTTAGTTTCTTTCCAATATTCCTCCTATCATTAGCAGATCTCACTTACTTTGCTTTAAGAACAACTCAAGTGAATAATTGACCACTTTTGTGTCACTTCTTTGATTAACTGGTTATCAGCGCTCTATGACATGATGCTGTGACACTTACAACTTAATTCAAACTGTATCAAGGGTGATAATTTATTAATTTGCACTGTTTTCTCAAGCCTGAGTTGTTTCTCCAATTTATTTAAAATATTTTCTTTGGTGAAGACAATTTCATAACTTCCTGACAATTAATTACCTGATGCTGAACTATCGGTTTGCAAGATATGTGCTGTATCAGACCACATATACACCCCATCCCCAAGACTTCCCACGTCAGATTCCATAACATCATCTGACTCCACTTTAATCTCCTCTTGAGGACAAGTCTAGGATATCAAAGGATAATCCCAGGCTAAGGGGTTACAAATCTAAGACATAAATGAGGAGGATTTTTTTTTCTCCCAGACAGTTGTGAATCTGTGGAATTGCTTATATCACAGTGGGCTATAGAACTGGGTCATTAAGTAAATTTAAGGCTGAGATAGATTTTTAATCAGTAAGGGAATTGAGGGTTATAAGGAAAAAAGCAAGAAAGTGCAGTTGAGATTATCAGGTCAGCCATGATCTCATTGAATGGTGGAGCAGACTCAATGGGCTGAATGGTGTACTTCTGCTCCCATGCCTTACGCTGCTGAAACCCTCATCTAGAGGGTTCTCTTCAAACTCCCAGATTTGACTGTTCCAATTTACCCCTGACTGGTCTCCCATTTTCCACCCGACCAACTCAAAAACATCTGCTGTACATGTCCAAACTCTCACCAAGTCTCATTGATTATCAGCCATATGCTCTCTGACCACCACATCATCAGACTCATTAATGCCTTGACTTTAAAATTCTTACATGGTTCCCTATCTCTCCATAATTTAGCTCTTCCCTATCTTGGAGACCTCCTTCAGCCAACAGCCATACGATCTCCCTGCTCCTGGTCTTTTGCACATCCCCAGTTCTAAGTGTAGCGCTGTTTGTAGCCATGCCTTCAGCTGCCATATCCCCAAGTTCAGAACTCCCTTCTTAAACTTTCTACCTCGCTCTTTTCTCTGCAAATCTGACTATTTTACCAAGCTTTGGGTCATTTCCATTATAGGCCTCAGTATTTGTTTTTGTTCGATCGTACTCCACCTCAAATCTATTGGAGGCCGAGTGTCACAAAATACATCAATCTAACTTGAATCAATACAGAATATCCGGTGCAGAGCTGAGGGAGTCTGCACTGTCAGATGTGTCATCTTACAGCTAAAGGTGAACTCCTGCCTACCCATTCAGTTTGGCATGAAAGATCTTTGCTATGTTTATAACATTCGTGACAAACAACAGTGACTACACTTCAAAATAATCTGGCAGCTGTAAAATGCTCTGGAGAACTGGGGGAATAGGGACGAAGTTCTATATCTCTCTTTGCTCTGCAAGATTTTCGATGCAAGTCACGTCTCTTTGACATAGAGTCACAGAGCACAGAAACAGACTGTTCAGTCCAACCATCCATGCCGAACATAATCCCAAACTAAACTAGTCCCACCCACCTGCTCCTGGCCCACATCCCTCCAAACCTTTCCTATTCAGACTATAGAGTAACCATATCCTTATGAACAGATCAGAACTGCTCACAATTCAGTGGAGGATACCTTATACAAGAACAAGTAATGAAATTCACACTGACTATTGGGGATGAGAGATAATGAACATGGTTGTGTTTGAAAGCCCTTTGCTCAATTTCTAGCTTATGTGAAATGGCTCGAGAATGCTTCATGCTGGAAATGAAACAATTCCATTTTGTACATGAACATTCAAGGGTAAAAATCCTCTCCTACAAGTATAAATTAAGAAAAATAATGGCTGCATTATACCAAGTTTCCAATCTCAAACTCCATGAGAAGGACATCTCTAACCAGTCAGCACTAAGAAATAATTAAAGATGGGTTGACACTAGTCATTTCCCTGTTAATAATAAAGGGCAGAAATATTGCTACTTTGGAGTGGGTTACAGGTGTATTGACCATCTAATTAACGGTGAAATGGCACCTACAAAGAACAGATGCAAAATTGGTCAGAATACCCAACACAAATATTACACCAGTCTGGAGATAGCCCAGGGCAATGAAGTTTACAATATTTACATTGCTGTGCACGAGACATCTGTCCTCATCTCACATTATAGAGTTATCAACATTATTAAACTTTTACTGTAACAATGCAAATTCACACTTTCTCCCTGCCTTCAACCGGACTGCTCCAAGTCAAAAACAAGGTACTGCTACACCATTTGGAAGTGCAGACTTTCAGAAGATATGTTAAAATGAGGTTGCATCTGTCCTCTCAGCTGTAAAAATATGCCATCGCACTGTAGACAAACAGCGAGAGAGAATGAGAAGAACTAGATAATAAGATGGAGTGTGAAACTGGAAGCTCTCTGTGTAAGGTAGCTAATATTTTTCTTAATTTATACTTTCAGGAGAAGCTTTAATGCAATCAGCAAAACAAACTATCTGCTCATTATAACACTGCTATATGCACAATTGGCAACTGCATTTCTATAACAGTAAACACACCTCAAAAAGTACTTCTTTGCTTGGCGCAAGATGCTTTGCAGATGCACGTCCTTCTTTCAGTTCAGTACCCATAACACTTGGCAAGGAAGCTCTCCACGCATGTGCTCATGCAGATTTGAACAGCCTACTGGCACACACACCTGCCTTCCCCATGAGGAAGCACAAAGTCTCTGATTGACAGGTTGGAAACACCACATGAGAACCTTTAGATGGAAGGCTGAATCCAAGCCTCATCATTCCACTTTACAGCTTACATTGACACTCACACGCATTACATCTTGTGCTTTATGCACACAATACATATACTTAAGATTTTATTTTTCATTATCAAACAGAAACAGTAAACCTTGAACTCCAAACCAGAGCTCCACACCATAATTTACAAATTGGAACCCTTCTTTCTATTTGGAAGTCATTCCTAGGGTATAAGTTGCAAGACTGGCACCTGATCTCAAGGTTCACCTGACTTCCTAGACCACTTAAGGCATCTCCGAAAACCTTGAAATTCCCCGCCTTTAAACTTGGTCCATTAAGCTACAGCACTCATTCCTGAGTATTAATTATTCTACATGGGATGCATTGAAAACCAATCCAGAATCAATACTACAAGATAAATTCGAAACAAAAACAGAAATTGCTGGAAAAGCTCAGCAGGTCTGGCAGCATCTGTAGGGAGAAATCAGATTAATGTTTCGGATCGAGTCAACGTTAACTCTGATTTCTCTCCACAAATGCTGCCAGACCTGCTGAGGCTTTTCCAGTAATTTCTGTTTTTGGTTCTGATTTACAGCTTTCACAGTTCTTTCGGTTTTTATTTAGGATAAATTCCATGTTCTTTGTACTCTCCTTATAGATGCTTAAATGCATCAGTGATGAATAAGACCGAAATTTCTCCAGCTCTGCGTATATTAACCAGGTTCAAATAGTATTCACTGCAGTTTTAAAATAAAGCCTGTGCGTATATCTCAGGTTAAACCTAGCTTTCAGTGGCTGTAAATGTACTGGGTTGGAGAAACTGCTCAGAAATAAATGATTGGGATAATAAAAAATGAAAGAAGCTCACTCTGAAATTAGACTGAGAAAAGGGAATTCAGGTACTGATTCCAGGTTGAAGTAATTCTAGGAGTGAAGGAAAACTGATGTGTTCTGACATACATTGACTCTTATGGGAGGGAGATTGGCATTATTTGGTTTTCCTGGCAGACTAAGTGGTGAACAAAGGACAAAGTGGTGTATAAAAATTCAACTCATGTCCACTGTATTGAATGAAACATAAAACTCCAAGGGAAAGCAGCACAGCTCAAACACAGTTTTCAGTCTCTCTCACTCTGCGCTGTTCCTCACTTGCTCCATTGTACGGATTCAGGTTTGGGGATTTCAATATTCTTCACCTCAATCTCTTCCCATGGCTCGAGTTTGGGTCCAGGGATCATAATGGTCTAGAGTTTAAAGAGAAATCAAATTTAATATTTCAATACAATGCTTGTCGTTTTTGCTAGAATACTGTGCAACTGAAAGGGAGAATGCAACTAGAAAGGAGGATTCATCAAGTCCTGCCACAAACACCACACAGATTGACACTCAGGGGTACATTTAACGAGAATGTGACCAGGCTTTTAAAAGAAATTCCTCCTTGTCGCATTTCCAGATACTGCTCTCTTCGAATTTTGACAAAACATTCTCATGTTTGAACAGAGAGCACTTCTTTTTCTTTTCTAGGTGCTGAGTAATGCACCAGTTTTGCTGGTTTGAGAATGATTTTTTTACCCGTTTTACTCCGATTCTACTGTCTTCTATTGTTACTGGTAAACCTGCATGTTTTCTAATCACAGTTGTTGTCACTATTTGGAATCATTGATGTTGCTTCAGAACTGCCCCGATGACAATGATGATGATTGGAGTGGATTAAACTTCATTCTGCCTGTCGTGATACTCAATAAATTAAAAGCTTTATTCAAAATCATAAAAAACAGTAATCCCCTCCCTTCCAAAAGAAGTACTGGAGCAAACGAGGCAGATGCAATAGAAATTAGGTTATTCAGAGCTCAGCATAATACATGTAGGCTTTACAGAGGCAACACAGAAATTAAACACCGAGGCCATTATAGACTAATGATTTCCTAAGACAGAGCTCATGAAGGAGTCAAGCATAAATAACTATTAGGTGAAGTGGAGCTAGAGGGCAAGGAATAATTAGACAGAGTTGCACACAGTTTGTTTTATGGTTATACACTCAATCCTAACTTTTATGTTAGCAAATGGAGAGAGACCAGGCCATTGAAAAACTTGAAAACACACAAATTACCTTAATGATAGGGTCTTTGGGAGGGGCCCACGCAGGTATTATCTTCCCATGCATTCTCCACAAGCCATAGGGATTAACTAAATGTCTCTCAAACACCACATACTCCAGAACATCTTTCGCTAGATCTTCATTGCCATACATTAGCCGACCAAAACGGTCGTAAATTGCCAAGGTCTGAGGATAGAGATAGCAGTTTATTGTTTATCTGCTGCTACAGTTAATGTCCTATCAATGTCAGATCTTTTCAAATTATTCAGTAATGAGTGTGTGAAGGCAGTTTAAGGACAGAACAAAAATAACTAGAGAAGAAAAAGTTGAAAATAATGTCTTAAAACCTATTATGGTTGTCACATCTCCCTTCCTTTAAAGGGATACACAACCGTTTCAAAAATTTTCAAAACATAGAACATATAGATGGCTACAACAATGACTATTATTTAGAAAGTTTTGTAATGTTGCAAAACATCCCCAGTTGTTTCACAGCTGTGCATAATCTATGAAGCAAAACTTGACACCAAGTTACCTAAGGAGATAGATAGATGGCCAAAAATTCCGTTAAAAGAGCAGCTTAAAGAGAGAAGGAAGATGTGGAGGTTCAGAGGTTCGGTGAGGGGGTGATTTCAGAATGTATGGCCTTGACAACTGAAGGCATGACCACCAGTGCAGAAGTGATTAGGATTGTGATATTGAAGAGTCTAAAATTATACAAGTGCAGATAATTTAGATATTTGTCAAGCTGAAGAGAGATAGGGAGGGATTTGAAAACAAGGGTAGAGGAGTTAGAAGATACTTCTAATTTAAAATCAAGTCATTACCAACACCCAATGGATTTGTAATACACACTGAGGTAAAAAACTGAATATACACATTATAAATAGTTTGTGACAAATAACATTTTACAATTGCAGCAAACAGTGCAGCATTCAAACTTTGGAGATGATTCATGAGGAGTTGCTGAAACAAATAATCAGGCTGAACCCATTTCAGTTCTCCATTGGGGAACCTGAGACAAAGCAGTTCCCAAAGGAAAAAAAATTCTGTTCCTCAGCAAGAACAAAAATGTCTTGTGTTTCAACACTTTCCTACTTATGCCTCTCCAAAAGAGAGCAACTTTATATTTTTTTCCTTTTATGCAAATTTGATCTGAAAAGCATAAAGTGGCAAGCAGGTGAGTAACCAAAAGACACAGATTCCAAGTAACTGGTCAAAGAACCAGAACACAAGCAGGGAAGTGAGGAGACATTTTTCACACAGCTAGTAATGATGATATGGAATACACTGCCTGAAAAGGTAGATTCAAAACTGCTTTGCAATAGAGAACTGGATACATTTAGATGCCGAAATATTTAGGGAAAGGGTCTAACTTTCAAAGAGCCAGCACAGGTTCAGCTCCCTAATGGGGTCAGCTCTCTAATTCTTTGTTGCAACATGATTCTTACAGAACGTGACTGAAGAGTCAGCGCTGTCCTGTCTTGTTCACTGCAGCAGGATGAGCAAATGGTAAGACATCAGATGTATTATATGTAACATTTGTGCACATTTTTGCCTAGCAAGCATTATTTTTCAAGTCAGCAAAATAATATTTAACCATCTGGAAACACAAAGGCAGGGTCCGTTTGATGTGGGAGGTAAATATATATAGTTGCTAGGTGTGACAACATTAAACCACAATTGGCATCTGACATCTTTCCTTCACATGTTAGTTCAAATCATCTTTATTTTAATGGATTTATTGTTGATCAAAAGCAGAAGCTCTTTTTACTTGCAGTATGTCAACAGACTTTGGTCTGTTCAAAGGGGGTCTGGGTCAATGACGCAGACAGTTTGTCTCCATGGTGACCTCCATTTAAATGTGGTGTCTTCAAGCCTTTTTGACATTGAGTGAAAAGGAGGAGAAACTAGGTAGAAAATTCCACTCGTCACAGCAAAGATTCCATCTGAGTGCCAACAAATTATCTAATCTACTGATGGCATCACAGGAGAAATCTTGACTTGAATGTGTCTGTAATCTTAATAAGCAGTACATGGAATATGCAAGGCTTTTGTGTGTAAAGCTACGTTTAAGTGCTGGACTTATGGAATCATGAGCCTAAAACTTAGAGTCATTAACATAACGTGGTCACCAATGACTTTGATAACAAACACCAAGAAAATTTATTTAACCAGAAAGTGGTTGGAATGTGGATCTTGATAATATATGGCACGTTTGAGGTGATTAGCAACACAGCAGTTAAGGGAGAGGAACAAAGGATACGAAGATAGGTAGAGATGATGCAGGGAAGCAGCAGGCTTGTGCCGAACATAAATACCAACATGGACCAATGGGGCTGAATGGCCTGTTTCTGTTCCATCAATCTATCAACATTGAGAAGCAAGTCTGGACAGATGACTGAGATTTCTCTTATTGCATAACAGTCATTCAGCTGCTAGTCCTGTAGAATCACGGAACAGTACAACACAGGAAGAGGCCATTCCAACCACTGAGTCTTTTCTGGTTCTTTCGAAGAACATTCAGCTCTTGCCCATATCCCTGCAATGCTTTTCCCTTTCAAGTAATCCCATACTCTTTTGATAGCTAACATTTAATTTGCAACCAGAGTGTATCAGTGCATTCCAAATTCTAACCACTCAATGGATTTATTTTAAAAATTCCTCTTGTCATCTCTGCTATTTGTTTATCACCCTAAAATCTGCGTCTTATAGCATCATAGAGTCATTCAGCATGGACACAGACACTTCAGTCCAACCAGTCCATGCCGACCATAATTCCAAATTAAACCAGTCCCACCTGCCTGCACTTGGCCCATATCCCTCCAAATATTTTTATTCATGTACTTATCCAACTGTCTTTTAAATGTTGTAACTATACTCACATCCACCACTTTGGGGAAGGTGATGGCCTAGTGATATTATTGCTGGACTGTTAATCCAGTGACCCAGATAATGTTCTGGGGACCCAGGTTCGAATCCCGCTACTGGAGATGGTGGAATTTGAATTCAATAAATATCTGGAATTAAGAGTCTAACAATGACTGTGAATCCATTGTTGATTGTTGGAAAAACCCATCTGGTTCACTAATGTCCTTTAGGGAAGGAACCTGCCATCCTTACCTGGTCTGGCCTACATATGACTCTAGACCCACACCAATGTGGTTGACTCTTAACTGTCCTCTGGGCAATCAGGGAATGGGCAATAAATGCTGCCTGGCCAGTGACGCCCTCATCCTGTGAATGAATTAAAAAAACACACGAGCCACTCTGTGTAAAAGAACTGCCCGTCATGGCTTTCCTAAATCTTTCTCCTCTCACCTCAAAAATGTGCCCCTAGTCTTGAAATCTGTCATCCTTTTGTAATATTTCAGCTGTTGGAAACAGTTTCTTTTTATTAACACCAACTAACATCTCTGTCAAATCACCTTTTAAACATAGTTTCTAGGCAGAATAATCTCAGGTTCTCCTTATCTACATTTTATGATCTTCTCATTCACTGGACTCTCTTATATTCAATGCAGAACACGGCTGACTGATGATACCTGCTGAGTGTGAAATCTGACAGTAACCTGACCGTATAGGTTGCCTTTGCTGACCATGTCAGGGCATCGGACATGCACAAGCCTCGGTGCTTCCAGCGACTGCAGAAATCTCCAGCGAATGGTCTTGTACCTGTTGCCACGCACCATATCCTGATGGGAACAGCAGCGAGACTTGCATTAGTTACTCAGTGGAGAGGGAGGGTCAATCAAGATCGCATTAAAACAAATATATTTTTAAATTAAATTTTAAGGATAAAATCGTTGGAATGAGAAATGTACTTACCGGGTAACAGCGCTCCGTTACCAACTTGTGAAGTAATACTTTGTCAAAACTGTAAACAAAGTTTTTGGAATAATCACTTTGTGTTTATAGTTACTCAGGGAAACAAACTACCGAGTTCCCTTCAGTTACAGTTCAACACAGCAGGGAAGAGAATTAAGAGGAGATGACGACCATGTGCCAAACTGTTAACCCAGAGACCCAGATAATAATCTGGGGACCTGTGTTCAACTCCTGCTATGGCAAATAGTGGAGTTTAAATTCACGTCTGGAATTAAGAGTCTAATGATGACCATGAAACCACTGCCAATTGTCGCGAAAAATTCATCTGGCTAATGTCCTTTAAGGAAGGAAACTGCCATCCTTACCCAGTCTGGCTGATATGTGAGTGCAGACCCCAACAACGTGGCTGACTCTTAATTAGAGATGGGCAATAAATACGGGCCTAGTCAGTGATGTCCACATCCCTGAGTAAATTATAAAGCTGGAATCATGAATCTCACAGCTATTTAGCCCATTGCTCCTTTGCTGGCTTCTTGAAAGGCATTTTGAATGAGTCCATTTCCCTGCTCTTCATCCATTTCCTCTTCAAGTAAAAGCAGGGCAGTGCACATCGTTGTCCTGGCCAATATTTATCCACTCACCTCTAAATAACTACCTTTTTACGGTCTTTTTAAGTCTCTATTTAAAAATAATTCTCAACTCCATTCTCATTCTTTTGCCCCTCTGTCTGAAGAATCAATTTCTTAATTGTTTTGTTAAAAAGTCTTCATTAATTTCAACACATCTATAAAATCTTCCCTTAATCTTCTCTGCCCTAAGGGAAACAATCTCAGTTTCCCCAATGTCTCCTATAGCTGAGGTCCTTACTTCCTGGTGGAATTTTAGTAAATGTAACCTGCACAGAAATTTACAATGTTTGCCGAGAGTCCAGGCTTCAGTAAAGCAAACGCCTGAAAAACCATCCCACACTAAAACACAGGAAGTTATTAAACTAAACCTGCTAGATATTCTGTGGGGCTCTTGGATAAATGCACCAATGACTACCCTGATCTCTATCCAGTAACATCTTACTGCAATGGTGCGATTGTCAATGGATGAAATCACGCTGCTTCATGCAATCTAATAAGCTGCTAGCACTCATTGTCAGCCCTCACATAAGGACTGGCACCAGCGGTCATCCAGCCCGGCTCGAGAAAAAAACTGCAAATACTCTTTTGACCTATTCCAAGTTATAACTTTGGTGATTAGAAAATACATTCGAGATTCAGTTGGAAAAATTCCACAAACCAGAACTCAAATAAAACTACAAAAGTTTTCTAAATCTAAGGCAAGATGAAACAAAAAGCAAACAGTAGGAAGAGAAGTTTGGAAACATCAGCCATTTGAATCATTAGTCAGTGTGAGAGCAGGAGAAGTAACATTCAATAAAAGATTGCAGACTTATTTTCCTGTATTCAGTCATAAACATCATTTATCATTTTTAAAAATTTGCATTTATACAACCTCCGAATTTCCCAAAATGCTTTACACAAACTTAAAGCTTTGGAAGTGTAGAGAATGCTACCTTCTATTTTCACAGTGCAATGATATAAAGACCAGGTGAGGTATTGGTGAGTGGATAAATTCTAGCCAGGACAATAAGGTGCACTGCCCTGCTTTTACTTGCAGCATAGCCATGAAATTGTTCACCTGAGAGAGGCCTCAGTTTAATGCTGTCTTGGAAATACAGATTTCATAATGCAGTACGTCCTCAGCATCACACTGAAATGTAATGGTCAACATTTTGCACTCAAATCTTACAGTCTCTGTCTCAGAGGCATAAACCTTTCCAATTGTGTCATGGGAGGCACATCGACATCTGCTGGGCCTAGAATCAGAGCAGTAAAACTGTGAATCATTGATCACTGAATTTATTCAACACATGTCTGGCACAGACTTGGAAGAACATATCACAAGCTGTTTCACGTCTGGAGGCACATAACTATGAACGCAGGAGCATCAGCAGCAAATCTACCCTGGCCCAGAAAACCTGATTTTCAGACTCGGGAGATGGCCAACAGCATGTAACTTAGGTTACAATGTCCCAAAAATTGAGAGATAACAAAGTGTGGAGCTGGAGGAACACAGCAGGCCAGGCAGCATCAGGGGAGCAGGAAAGTTGACGTTTCGGGTCAGGACCCTTCTGCCCCAAAAATTAAGGCCACTTTGTCCAAGGAGCACCATCTCAGAACACCGAGTTGAAGGGCTGCTCAGATGACTCAGCATTTTATCCAACGTGATGCCCATACAGTTGGTCAGTTACAGACACAGAGTAGTGCTCTTACGTTTCTGTTCCCTCTCTTCTACCCTGCAGATTCTCTCCCCAGCTGCACAGGGCATCAACAAGTATATTGTCTTTAATGTATACAAGTGCTCCAAAATCCCTCACAGCAGCATCATTCCCATTCATTTGAATTCACAAGCCCCAAAATGGATCTTTTAGTGCAGATCACCCAAAGAAGCAGGTCTTAAGGAATAACTTAAAGGAGGACAAAGAGAGATAAGCAAGTTTAAAGAAGAAATTTTTTAGTTTAAAAGCACATGTATCTGAAGGGCAAGATGCAATGGCAAAAATCAAGGGATGCTTGAGTGACCAGAACTGTAGTAATGTACTGGTCTGACAGCACACTCAGGAGGAAGTGGTGTCAGAGATAGTCACTCGTCGAATTATTTAGTGAAACCCCTTGACCTACCATAGCAAGAATAAACAGGTCAATGTTTGTAAATGCTCATTTACTTGAGCAAAGGTTCACTGGAAATGTTACTCACCTCACAAGGCAGTTGTGTGCCTCGATGTAAATATCTTGGGCCTTTGAGGCAAAGTCCTTTGAGCGGAATTCTTGATCATATTCTTTCACCTTTCGGATTCTGTTAAAAGAAAGGCTATTGGTGAACATTACTGAGAACTAGCTTCCTTATTGGCCAAGAACAGAGACGCTAAACTGGAATAAAGGATAAGTTCCAACAATCCCCTCCAACACAGCTCAATCACATTACACTATCGACATATCCTGCCTCATTTTATTCATGATGTTTTAACCTCATGAAATTCATGGACATCAATAACCCTCCAGCATCTCCTTCAACTGGGCACTTTTCCTATAATACAGTACAAGTACAGACAATGAGGATCAACTTGGCTAATTGACTATGGGCAGCATCGTATTTAAAGCCATTCCTGCAGTCACTCAACTTCCAACAGGAGGCTGCACGCAGTAGATAGGAACGTTGGCAGGAGTCTCTCCTCCCTGACCTGAGGACATTGAGGAAAATCGGAAGCACTATCATCGAATCACCATGACTGAGAGCAGCTTCCTCAGTACTAACTTTGGTTTTGGTGGTGGCAAAGGAGGGCACACAGAGAGTGAGTATGTCTTTCTGGCTCAACAAGACATGGCAATGTGGGTTGATACAGCATCTTCAATAAGGCTAGCACAATTACAGCATTTAAATGGCATCTGGATGGGTACATGAATAGGAAGGGTTTAGAGGGATATGGGCCAAATGCTGGCAAATGGAACTAGATTTATTTAGGATATCTGGTCAGCATGGATGAGTAAGACTGAAGGATCCGTTTCCCTCCTGTTCATTTCTATGACTATGAATATGACTCTAAATCAGTGAAACAATTCCATCTTTTCATGTTTGTAAACACAAACTCAATCAGTAAAGTCACAGAGGGTACAATCAACATTTAGTTTGCATTTAATTAAAGCAGGTCGATGATTGCTCAGGTGAAAGCAGGCTTCCTCTCACCACTCACACTGAATTTGATATGTCAGCGCAAGATCTTTATTCAATACAGGTTTTTACCTTCAGCTACCTCGCATTGAGTTTCTGAAATTAACTGATTAATTGTGAAACTGGGGCAGGTCCCTGGGGATTCAATCTTCCTTAACTTATTTCTGGTGAACATTAACAGCCAAGGAAGAGATTTTATCTTGGTCTCTTTGGCCCATTTTCATGTCCCACTTCTAGGGATAAAACTAAGCTGCTAGATGCTGTACAATGCAACTGTTTCAGTTCACTCCTGTTCAGGTGGGAAGCCATGCATTAATTATGAATTCATAACAGCAGAGCACATCACAGTCAATTATACGAAACAAGATTCACCCAAACAGGAGTGTGACAACTGGCCAGCAATATGGATTGACGAATAAATATTTACCAGGATTTCAGGGAGAATGCCACTGCTCCTGTTTGAACTAGGGTTCTGAGAACTTTCCCATGCAGCTTAAGCACAGATGGGTGCTTGGTTTATCCTCACAATCAAAAGGTGGCACATTGACAGAGAGGGGCTCTCTCAGTGCTGCCTCTCAGCCAGTGCAGTACTCCCTCATGACTGGATTAAACGCTCAAGACTCTGGACTGGGAAATGTTCCACAACCTTCTGACTCACAGGCAGGTGCCATTGATGGAGTTATGTTTTATTCCCATCCAGTCTGGAAATCAACAAATCTGCAACTTTCAGCATGTAGCAAACAGGAATCCTACAGGTCACTCTCTGACTGGGGTCTCCCCTCCCCCAGCTCTAGTGTACAATACGCAATACTCAATTCTCATGTTGGGCTTCAATGATTGCCAGGGGCCTGAAAGACTAAAATAGCATGAGATGGTTAGCAAATGTGGCAGGACGTACAAGTGAGCAACTGCCCACGGAACTGTGGTCGGGGTGAATTCATGGTCAAAAGTAAGCAGTGGTCTGGAGCCAGGTTCAGAGTGAGCAGAGTGTAAGAAACATCATACAAAGGATGTACAGACTCTACAGTGAGAAGCGGGCACATCTATTTCATTCATCTCTATTGGCAAGTATCTGTTATTTTAAAAGCATTACAAGACCTGAAAAGGTTTGAGAACCAGTTCTCGGATTGCACAATGGTAACTTACGCAAGCTGTGAGGCCGCACTTTGCTTGATCTGCTCTGCACGTTGTTTAAATCCTGCCTTTGTTAGGGAGGACATGCGAGCATCACCTTCAGGTGGGATATATGGATCAAATATTCCAGCTACAGAAAAGACATAACAATGCAGTTAACAGCCAAAATGAATAACAAGGTGACATCATTGGCAATTCAAGCCTCCCCACACCATAATAGCCAGGGTACTATCTTCACTCCAGTCCTGTAATCTCCTGGGAGAGACAAAAACAAATATGTCACTGCAAAATGTCTCTTCAAACACCTCAGGCGATGAAAACCAGTGCACACCAATTATGTGTTATCTGTAAAGTATCCTGCATGATGTGATCTCAGCCCCAGTCAAAAAACAGTCCCCTCTTAAAGGCAGGACACAGAGTCAGCATCTGTCACACTAGGCAGCAGCTTGTGTTAAAATGATATAAACCTTATCCTTTTAAAATGAATCTCATGATAAACACAATGCTTTTGCATCAAAAAGATGTACATTTCCAGTAAGAACTATTGTACAGTAAGAACAGAAATACATCAATAGTCTCCATTTCTTTCCTGAAAGCCATGAACTATACCCTGGTCACCTGTAGTACACCTTACCTCAGTGGACATCCTCTTCATACCCACCAGGATACTAAGTGCCATTTCATCAAGGAGATCCTACCCTCAATTTGAAAAGTAACCTGTACACGTGTACTTCCTGTACTGATCACTAGATGGAGAAAATGCATTGGTAATCTGTTTGAGTATTTCTCCCCCTTCACCCTGTAACTGTGGTCTACTGTAGGCCTGTACTTTCACCCTCTTTAAGTCTTAGAATAAACAAAAATGTCTTCACTTTTTTTTCTTGAGCACAACCAGTTAGATTGAATGTGCAGTGCTGTTTTTATCAAAGGGGCCAACTTGTGAGGGGGCTGCACCAGACATCTCCTAGATTGCTGCAGAGTTATACAGAAACAACGGTTTGTAACTCTCAATTGTGCTGGGTCTTCAGAAATTTAATGTCGCTCTCCAGAACACTGCTGCCAGAAAATTCAGGATGAAAAGCTCAGAAGAATGTAAAATGGTGCATTTTTAAAAACACTTTTATCTTTCAGATCTAAAGATACTTATGGTGTTGGAAAAACCACCATTTCTTTAATAATCAAGATTAATACAATTGTGTAATTAAAGAGTTTCTTCCTTTCCGATTAATCTTGAAGAAGGAGTTTTAGTTCAGTGTAGCATATTAGCATATCTACACTGCAACATCAGCTGTAGAAGAAAATTGGACATGTATTTGGAAAAGGAACAAATACAGGGCCATGGGGAAAGAGTGGACGAGCAGGATTAAAGTTTCAAAGAGCCGGCACAGGTACAATGTGTCAAATGGCCTCCTTTAATGTTGCAAAATTCCAAGTACCTGATGCTCTTACAGTGTGTCATTGGCCAATGGATTTACCAATCTGTTTACTGAGTTTGTCTCAATAAGTATACCATTTCTCAATAAACAATGTGTAAGGCCATGTATATAGAATGGCTACTTACATGGAAGGTCATAGATAGTATCAAGTACAGGTGGGACTGTGCCATAGTGTGGGTTAATGTTTGCTGGATGTGGGATAAGGAGCAGGAAAGAAATAGAGATAAAGTTGCTTCACTTCCTCCAACTGAAAAGTAACAGACCTGAGATTTAAAACTAAACTGTCACGTCAGCATCAATCGCTGTTAAAGTGATATAAATGGTTCCTCTTAAAATGAATCTCATGATAAACAAAATGATTTTGCATCAAAATGAATGTTGCCAACTGTACAGTGAAAATAGAAAATACATCAGTTTTCTCTATTTCTTGCCTGAATCAATAACTTCCTCAGATCTGAATGTGAATCATTCACTACGCTCTTCCTACACCATTTGGTTTCCTTCTAAAGTTCATGCAATCCATGTTCTGTGCTGTTAGACATTGATCTCCTGTACCTGTACACGATATGTTGATGGGTCGTTCCATGTATTGCTGCCGAATCACCAGTCCTGCAGCCCGAGCTGCTTTCTCCTGATCAACAGTGCTATCCTGTTTACGTGGTGGAACATAATGTCTCTTCTTTGTTCTCACAGTAATAACGGCAGCAGAGGCACACAGCTTTACAGGGCTCAGCAGTGCTTCTAGGCCCTGGCAAACCTGTCAGGCAGACAAATATTCTTTTGTGACTTAACATTAAACTTGCAATTAGTTCACTAATTGATTCAGATAAAATGCTGTTTACAAATCTCTGCAGTCTACTTCTTAAACCTCTTCCACTCATATCCTGCTGTCTAACATGTATCCAATTTTTGTTATTCATCACAAACAGTGGGAGTCTTTAATCATCACATTCCTCCATTGCAGAATTCCCTTCCTTAACGCTTCCCCTCCCCCTCCAGCTTCTTCAAAGTCTGCATCTTTACTGACACCTTCAGTTCCCTCCATCAACTCTTCCAAATCTTTGCTTAGGGGCTGAGTTCCCCATTGTTGTAATTCTTTCACAGGAGGCGGCATTACTGGATAGTGTAGTTTTTACTGCCTATCACAAATTGCCTTGGAAGGGTGGTTGTGAGTTGCCTTCTTGAATTGCTGCAGTCCTTGGACTTACAGAGACACCCATAGTGCTGTCAGAGAATGTAATCCAGGACTCTAACTCAGTACCTGTAAAATGATGGCAATGTAGTTCCAAGTCAGGATACTGAGCAGCTTAGAGGGAACTTGCAAGTGGTGTTCCATTCTGTTGTTTATGTTCTACCAGATGCTCAGGGGCTTGGAAAGTGCTGTCAAAGGAGCTTTGGTGAGTTGCTGCAGTGTATCTTGCAGATATGAAAGTATATTAATGGCACAAATGAAAATAGGCTCTGGTCTTAGTAATGAGAGAAATCTGATATGAGGAGTCCAAAAGAGCAGATAAATATGATTTTCTTATGATGTTTTGTAGTCCATGTTCTTACTAAGAATCACATGGTAACCTGCCTCATTAACATTCAGAAATATGATCAAGCTGAGTCAGCATGGTTCCATGAAGGGCAAATAAGTGATTAAAATTCTTTGAGGTGGTGACAAGCAAGACAGATAACGGGGAAATCTGTGGATGAAATATATTTGTACTTTAGGTGTATGATAATGTAGGGAATCTAATAATGAGTCCATGGTATTAGAGATAGTATATTAGCATGGATAGAGGATTGGATTAACAGATAGATGATAGAGAGTTGAGAGAGGGGCATTTTCAAATGGCAACCTGTAACTAGTGGAGTGTAACACAGGAACTGTGCTGGGATCCACACAATTACTTACAAAATATATTAATGACTTGGATGAGGAAGGTGAATGTACTATGGCCAAGTATGCAATTGACACAAAAATAGTTGGAAAGCCAAGTGGTGAGGATGACACAAAGAGCCTGCAGAGGAATATAAACAGGTTAAGCGAGTGGGCAAAATTTGGCCAGTGAAATATAATGTAGAAAAATATGAGGTTGTGCACTTTGGCAGGAAAAATAGATGAGCTGAATATTATTTAAATTGAGAAAGACTGACAAAATACTATTGCACAGGAAGATTTGGGAGTGCTGATGCATGGATCATAAAAATGTCAGCATATAAATTCAGTGGGCAATGGTGAAGGCAAATGGAATCTTAGCCTTTATTTCAAAGGCAATGGAGTACAAAAATAGGGAAGTGGTGCTAAAACTATATAACGTGCTTGTTAGACTATAGCTGGAATAATCTGAACTGTTTTGGGCCCCTTATCTCAGGATAGATATACTGGCATTGGAGTCAGTCCAGAAAAGGTTCACTAGGCTACTCCCAAAGAAGGAAGGACTGTTTTAGGAGAACAGGTTGAATATGTTGGGACTGTATTCATTGCATATTTAGAAGATTGAGAGGCAACCTTATTGAAACGTGCAAGATTCTTAGCAGACTTTACAGGGTAGATGAGGACTGATTGTTTAACCATGCGAGAGTGTTGAGGACCAGGGCCCATAATCTCAAAATAAGGAATTTCCATTTAAAATAGGAATGAGAAGGAATTTATTTTTCTCTGAGGGTAGTGAATCTGTGGAATTCTTTACTGAAGAGAGCTCTATCATTAAGTATATTCAAAGCTGAGACAAATTTTTAATCAGTAAGGGAATCAGGATTGATGGGGAAAAGTTAGGAAAGTGAAATTGACGATTATCAGACATGATCTTACTGAATGGCGGAGCAGGCTCGATGGGCTGAATGTTTACTTCTGCTCCTATATCTTATTGATCGGGTTCGTCGATGCAGTTGAAAAGCGGGCTATCAAAACAGACCGTAAACCCCAGCCGGGAGAGACCAAAGGGCCAGCGGGTTCACTGAGCTGCTTCCCAATGACCTACGGACCGACAAGCCACTGCCGGCCTTTGACCGAGCTCCAGGGTGATGGCCGCGGGCTTTCGCTTCACCTTTAGCCGACCCCAACACCCGGGTGTTTGCGAGGCCGCCCTACCTGCCGGTTGGCGCTCAGACCCCTGCCCAGGGGCTGCTCCACTGCCTTCAGCAACCTGCCCATGGACGCCGCCATCTTGGCACCCCACAGCCTGACGGGATTCAGGAGGACCGGATCCTGGAGCACCCTCTGTCCGAGGAATGTAGCATTGTGGCTTGTTGTTGAAGTGGGAGAGATAACAGCTTTAGAATCTGAAACAGGCTTATTAACATTTTTGTTGAAACCTGTTGATGAAATTACACATCTATAATATAATCCATTTCTTTTCTTTCAGATACTGTGAACTTGCAAGTATTCTTTTCTTTTTAGTTTCTGATTTCCAAACTTTTTCTTTCTCTTTACATATGTTTGCAAGACAAAAGGGAAGAGAAATTGCAGAATTATGAGAGGGACATGAAGAAGGGTCTAGGCTCGAAACGTCAGCCTTCCTGCTCCTCTGATGCTGCTTGGCCTGCTGTGTTCATCCAGCTCTACACCT